CCGCTCTCCGCGCCGGGCTGCGTCATCGGCGGCAGGGGCCACCAGCGGACGAGGTCCCGGGACGCGCTGTGGCACCAGCGCATGCGCTCGCCCTCCTTGAGGAAGCACTGCCAGGCGACGTGGTAGAGCCCGCCGCGGAGCATCATGCCGTTGGCGTCGCCGACGTAGCCCGGCGCGTTGTCGAGGCCGCCGAGGTGCCAGATGGGCCGCGCCGTCGCGTTCGGCGGGACCCAGGCGGCATCGGCGGCGGCGGCGGCGGCGGCGACGACGACGGTGAGGGTGCTGCCCGCCATCGTTCTCGATCGATCGCTGCGGAGACTGCATCGTCGCCTTCCCCGCCGGGGTATTTACTCTGAGTTTGTCCCCTGTTGAAGCGGCACAGTGCAGCAAAAGCCGTCGTTGCATGGGCTTTTCTTCGCGGCGCTCGCGATGGCGTCTGAGCGTTATGCGCCGGGATCGGCACTGGGGAAGGTGTCTCGCTGCCGCCCCAAACGCCCTCGTTCGGGCGTCGACCCGCCACGACGCGGATCCAGCGCGGTTGGGGCGGCGTCGACCATGCGGAAGCCGTCGAACCCGACGTCGGTCGGCTCGAGGTCCCGAGGGGCAGCCCGAGGCGCCTGGGGTGGGCCCACGCCGCCCGAGATGGTCTGGACCCGACCCCATGGTGGTATGGAACGGATCGAGACCATGTCCGGCGGCAGGGGCAGCCCCAGACACCCCACGGCCACCGTCGGGACGAAACGCCGTCAGAGCTCGGCCCGGTGGACTCGACGATTTCGGGCTCCCCCGAGGAACCTGCCGCGCTGGACGCGACGGGGTCGATGACGAACGATCTCCGCTGCTGCGATGGCTCGAAAACTATGTTAGAGGGGTCGCGAGGGGGCAGCGCGTCGCTTCCCACCCACTCTACCTCCCCGTTCCAGTCGCCACGCGGTCGTATGAGCGTCGCGTCTTCGCATGTGCCTCACCCTCGTCCTTGCGGCCCTCGCAGCTGCTGGGATCGTTGCACAATTCTGCATATTCGCGGAGCGGCGGGCCCTCAAAGACGGCCATCCCATCGCAGCGCGCCGCCAAAACGCTGCACAATGTCGATCATGAAGCACGGAGGACATTCGCTCGATTTTACCCCGGCGGGAAGAAGTGCAACTTTATACACACCACCTCAAATTGA